GGAAGGCGGAAAGGCCACTAGCTATGCAGATCAGGGACATGGCACGAGATTGGGAGAGCTGCAGGGCACATCTGAGAGAGGCCTTTCGACGGCCAGAGCTCCCTCAGCCCAGAGTCGAGAGGCGGCAGAGGAGTTAGAGACCGAGGGACCCTGAGCCCAGGGAGGCGAGATCATCCCGAGGAGAACGGAAGGCCCTAGCCAGGAGAGAGGAGGAGCCGGAGCAGGAGCCAGAGGTTGAAGAGCGAGGGACATACCTTGAGTATGGGTTGGGATCAGTGAAGTTCCATCGTTTTACTGAGGGTGGATTGAGGAGGTCGCTAGCACACCCACGGGAGGAGCCGCCAGTGTCTGAAGGGCCGTTGAGGGAGTTAGAAACGCATCTGGATATCTCTCATTGGAAAGCGTCGCCTCAGGATGAGAAGCGTGAAGGGCAAGTAGGGGAGGTGCCACGAGAGGAGGTACCACAGGGGGAGATACCGCGAGAGGAGGTGTCACAGGAGAAGGTGCTACGGGAAGAGGCCCAGGGTACTCAGCGAGAGAGAGGGCTGGGCGATGAGGGGAGACATGCAGGAAAGGAAGTAATAGAGGTTGGAGAGGACACGCCCCCACAAACGCCAGCAGTGAGTTTGAAACTCGGAGATGCACCAGGGAGCACCCGACAGGCAGAGGAGAGGTTGCAGGGAGAGGAGGCCCCACTTCTTTCATCAGAAAGGGCCCCATCACCAGAGGGGAGAGCCGGCAGGAGAAGAGAAAGGGCAGCTGTAAGGAGAGAAGCTTTGACTTTGATTGATAGGCACCTAGCAGCTTATGCCCTGGAGCATCCAGACCTGGAGGAGCCAGCACCTGCTGAGCCGCGCCAGGAGTCATGCCAGCCCGAGAAGGAGATGGAAGCAGAGATACCAAAGAGGGTCGACCTCCGCACGAAGGAAAGGGCGCCAGCTGGAGAGACGGCTGAAGAAAAGAGGGTGAGAAGAACTCGACGGATAGATGAGATATGGCAGGAGAGGTAGAGATTGGAGGTAGTGGGGGAGCTCCCGGAGCAGCAACAGGAGGGGCAGCGATCAGAGACAGCAGGAGCACTCCCGGGTCAGCCACCCAGCGCGCCAGCTAGGGCCCCGGAGATTCCTGAGATGTGGAGGGACTTCTGGGAGCAGAGAGGAGAGGAACTTCCATCGCCAGTCAGAGCCGGGTTTGGAGTGGTCAGGAAGGCGGAAGAGAGGTTAGATCGTAAAATCAAGTTCCTGGCCAAGACCACTTTTGACCGACACTTGTTATTAGAGGGCGATCTGGCGGGGAAGAAAG